TTCCAAGCCTTCCATTTCTCTTCACTTCTAGTTCTGGCTCAAACCTCATTTTAAATATCAAAGAACCCCCTCTTGGGCACTTAAAAACCAAAAAAACAACCAACCAAAAACATTTACCTAGGTCCCACATTCCTGTTTTGTTGTACAGTATAACCTCATAAATCCATAATGATTGAAAATCCAGCACTTTTTAAAACTACACTTCATCGGGGAGTAGCAGCAGCCAGTCCTGGAGCAGCAGAGGGGGAAGCTTACACACAGCAGCTGCTGCCACCAGCCCCCACACTGTGTTGTCGCTCCACGTGTGGCTGCTGCTCAGTCTCAAGCATGCCGGATTCATGAGGTTATACTGTATGTTGGTTTACTTCACTATTTAATTATCAGGATATTCCATTTCATTTTTATTTATTTAAGGATGTCACTAAGTTTTTATAACATCACAAGTGTTTCAGTGACATGAAAGTATTTCATGCGTAGTGTCACTTGCTGGAAGAATCCCAGTGTGCCTGGCATTGGAATGAAGATAGTAGTGCAGGGGTCGGCAACCTTGAGCCTGCAGGCGGGATGTGACCTGTGAAGAGTTTTTAACCTGCCTGTCAAACATGTTTGCACGTGACTGTGCCATCTAGTGGCCACCTGTAGCCTGAGGAGGACTGAGCTGTGTTAATGCAGCCTGCTTAAATAGCCTCTAAAAATGGCCAGAAAAGACCCCTTTAAAATACCACTCTTTTTCTGTAGGAAAGCCCCCTTCATCAGTGTAACATTTTCCCATGGCCAAGGTTCTGAAACTCCAGTTACTTACCAAAGCAAAGATGACATTTTGGTTTTCTTCATTGGCTTCCCATGGGCTTTCACCTCTGTTTTATATATCAGAGTATTTTTGCGGGGATGATGGGATCTTGTTGGTGACAATTGCTTTGCTAAGAAGGGGCGCAAAATCTTTTTGTTCCTTCAGTCTCCCAAGCTGTGCTTCTGTGAAGTTCAAGGAATAGAGCTGAACATAAATGTCAACACAGAGATGGGTTTGATTTGAAGTGAATCTGTACAATCAATTACTCTCATGGGCTCCAAAGCATCTGTTGGTATCATGTACTAGGTATAGCTGTATTGCTTGCTGGATTGGCAGTCAACATTGAATATGTGACCTAGGATAGATAGGGATTTTGTGGAAACTGCAGAATCAGGCATTGTATTCGAAATCTGAAAAATCGCAAAAAAAATTACTGAAAATAAAATGGGGAGCTAGCATTCCTCGTGGCTGCTGTGGTCCTCACAGCCTGCTGGTGCAAAGGGGAGCAGCCAAGATGGCGACCACCCCCCCTACCCCTTGCTGCTGATTGGGTGAGAGGACTGCCCGCCACACAGCTCCACCCCTCTTTGCCAATCATCAGTGAGGGGCCAGGCTACATGATGGACAGCCCTCTTGGCCAGTCAGCAGCAAGGGGCAGGGTCACACAACAGGTGGCGCTCTCTGCCAGTCAGCAGTGAATGACGGGGCTACCGGGGCCCCTTGGCCAGTCAGTGGTGAGGGGTGGGCTTGCCACATAAAGGCTGCAAAATTGGCTCTGCTCACAAGTGGCCTATGAAAAGCCCTTTCAGTTGCTGCGATTTCAATAAATCCTTGAGTAAAGACCTTGAATCTGTGGGGCATTTTTACTTATTTAGCCACAATGACATTTTCCATCCCCCAAACAAATTTGATGAAGAGAAGGTGATCATAAACTATATGAAATCATAAATACTGCTTGCATGAGAACAGTAACAGTGGAGTATAATTCTGTTTATGGATTTATGGTGTCAGGTGACTTATGTCTCTTCAATTAGAGAAATCAGAAAGGAACAGTTTGGCCATCTTATCCATCCCCCATTGACCAATTATTATATTCCCTTAAGTATATTTCTGGGATTTTTTAATCCAGTTCCATTTTCACTGGCATTTTTTGTAACTTGGGAAACCATATGACTGTTTAATACAGTGACCCTCAGCCAGGGTGCTGCAGCATCCTGGGGTACCTTGAGATCCTTTCCAAGCTGCTGCCAGGTGCCAAGCACAACGATACCACTGTTAGGTGTACAGATGGGACTTGTAAGATAAACCCAGGATTTCAAAGAGGAATCCAGATTGTCAAAAACCATTCTGACTGGTTGGGATCTTTCCGAATTTTCTGCAACAGAAGAATTGCTCTATTTTTTCTGTAGTCAAAAAGCAAGTGAAAACTAAGAGCATTTTCCGAGGGGTGCCTCAAGTCTAAAAAGGTTGAGAACCACTTGTTTAATAGATACTGATTTTATAGGGAAGTTTTCAAGAGATTTGAGCATCCACAAAAGGGTTGGTTTTTAAACTGTTTTAGTCAAACAAGTAATTTGTGGCTGTATAGAGAACATCTAGATTAATAACAAGATGAAAGAGATGATGAGCATGTTTCTGTGTAGGCTAGGTGTGTGCCATTTATGTTTTCCATCTCTGTAGCCATTAGCTCCTGGATGATGCCTGACTGGCTCTGGTAGTACAAGTGAATTTGAAGAAGAGTAAGTAGATTAATGAATTGTCTTGGGGAGTTTGCATAACATAAGAGGTGACATTGGAGAGAGCCTTTTTTGGGTGCTTGTAGAAGAAAGACTACTAGATGGTGAAGACAGAAGTTTGGAGTATAGGCAGCAGTAAATTGATGTAATTGGTAGTCAAGGGCAGAAGTCTGAGAGTCTAGAGGGTAAGCGTGGTGCCTAGTGAGGAGATGGATGGAGTGGCTCAGCAGGTAAAATGATTAAGGTGAAGATTAAGGAAGATAATTTTTGTAACAATGTTTTGAATGGGTTTGAGGGGGGCAATTTTGCAGGTGTAAGTGGAGATTGGGGTCTGGATGAAAGTGTGTGCCATATTTGGGGGATGTTATGAATGAAAAAGTGGCAAGAATCAGATAACCCCATATATGAAAAGTAAAGTATAGACCTAAAATGAAGCAGGGCTAAGAAACCAACTTTGCCCAGTTACTTCATGCTTACTTAGCAATGGAAATGAAATGACCAAACTCAACTTGTATTATTGAAGTCAGATCCTTTTCCTGTGCTTTCAATATACTCATTCCCTCCTCTGATTTTGAGCAGCTTGGGCATTCCCTGGTGCTCAGTTTGTTCCCCAGTACTCGTAAGAAGGTGATCCTCCTCCAGTTGACTTTATTTTACAGCGGGTCCAAACTCCGTAGTTCCATGTTGCAAACAGGCAGAAGACCTCTCTCGCATCTATGTCTGTAGCTCCTGCAAACATTTGATCTGAACTTTCTATCAAATTGTATGCCAAGATGGTAAATTTCAAAGATGACTTTGGGTTGAATGGCAGCTGCTTACTCATGGGTGGATGAATTAACTATCAGAGGGTAAAAGGAGGGTAATCAGCTGCTCCACAATGACTGCACATGTGCATGCTCTTGCCCCACAGCAAATGAAAGCTAGCCTACTGCAGCTCCATCATCTTTCACTGAGCGTAATTAAAGTGCAGTGGTTTAGTTTTCACCTACCCTGGGGTAAGAGCACGCACCTGGGCAGTTACTGTGTAGCAGTTCACATGCAGTAAATCCCAGCCTCTTTTAACCCTGAAGTATTTGGTTTGTCTTCCCATGCCTGTGTAAAGATAATGTTTTACCTACTGCTGGAAGCAAGGAACTTCTTGTTCTTTTCTGTGTTCTCACACTGATAACACGTGGCCTGGGGAAGATACTTTATCCTGTGTCTGTGTGTTCTCATCTATAAACTACTATTTACTTAACTTACAAAGTGTTGTGAGGATGAGTTAATTTTGTATAGTGCCTTACTTCTGTGTCCAAAATATTATCTTTGTACGTGTGTTTCCAGTATATTTGGAGGAGGCTATTCTTCCCTGCTTGTCTGTTTTGACAGCCTGTAGAACTTGCAACTGAGCTGGAGTTGCCTGGCTTTAATCATGTACCTTATTGAAGTATAAAACTGTCAAGTACATTGGCTAATTATAATGGACTCTAAAGTAATTTTGGAAATGAAAGCCTAGTTTAGAGCCATTCCAGTACACAACTCAAGTGTACTTTTATTTAGCTTACATATTTGCCTTTGAGAGAAAGCAGTGCTGTTAATGTGCTATACATCTTGGTTTGCAAATTTGCCTTGTTTTGGTTACCTTTCATGAAAAATAGATTGCTTTGTTTGAATATATACAACTGTAGAGTCATAAGAGAATCCAAAAAGCACAATTATTCTTAAATGTGGATAACAAGACTTGACTTTGCTGTTGGTAACTTGGGAGTCTCTTGAGTCTTGTCTCACTATATATTTATTAGCTACCTAGATATCTGTGGGGTGACTGTGCACTGTACGAGCCTTGAACAAAAGAAAAGATGGTGGTTCCAATACTGTGAAAGCTAGCGTAATAATAACTTGGTTGTTGATGTTCTCTTGTTCAGAAATTGGAATAGGTTTGGAGTTTTTTTTTTAATGTCTTTCTTCTTAAGCATATTCAAAGTTTTGTCTTTTCTTTTTGAAGTTCTCTAAATACTTTAGAGAGTTAATACTTCTCCACCTCTTCTTTCCCTTTTCGCTCTTCTGTGTACATCGTACTAGCCTTTGCTTATATTGCAGAGATGACTTGTCCCACCAATTTGATATCTAGAAGTCACCTTGTATATTTAGCATACATGTTGCTTTTGTGTATAGGTTTGGGGGAGTAGCTGTGATTTTTTTTGTTTGTTTGTTTGTTTGTTTTTAGTCACTTAATTCAAATATGCAGTTTAAGCAAAGAACTTAGGAAGCAGTATTAAAAAATTACTTTATTTTTTTTTTTTTAAATCACCATTGATAAGAATTGGGCAGCTGTGAAATCCCTGAGGGCTACCACTTTAATTCCAA